TGATGTCCACCTTGATCACTTCAATTTCTCCTCCTTTTAGCTCCACATACTAACTCATCTCTGCATCACCTAATGAATCCCTTTGCAACATTCAGGAATAAGAAATGGGCTTCACATTAAAACAATTTCACATCTTTTAAAAGCTCTCAAAGCAAGTTCAGCATACTTTACTCTTTATACATCAGATGGCTGTGCACTGCAAGATCTGACTTCCATCCCTGATAGCATGGGCGAGCTCATCAGCTTCACCCACAGAAGAACAGGCAGCCCTCCTCACCTCCAGCTGCAAACAGACTCAAGGCAAAGCAACATAGGCACACACACACACATTTCTCTGAAAGGAAGAATTATCATATGGAATTCCTCATCAGTGCAAACAACTTAATTCTCAATAATTGATTACTCTCTTTGGAGACAAAGCAACAGCATAAGATAGCATTTTGAAAAGCATTTGACAACGCTTTTCATCACAGAATCAACCACAAAGAACTGGACTCACAGGAAAAACAAAATATGCCTGAACATAGCAGTGAACCGATTTTTGAAGTCTTCACAACAGATTTATAAAAATGCTACAGACATCTTAAGTCTCACAGTCCGCCCTCTTTTCCTTCTCTCCTCCCAAATTCAATCCTTTCCTTCTCCCCAAAAAGCTCCTTCAAGTTCTCAAAGATTTCTCTCTGTTACTGAGAAACAGACTTGAAGAGTAAGTTATTCAAGACATGGCTTGCAGGACTTCTCAAAACTGAGGAAAATATTCAACCAAATCAAGAGAAAGAGTCACAAGGTCACATTACATTCTTCTTATTTTCTACTAATTATGCTTCTAAATAAGTGATGTGTAACAGTAATGTAGGAAATAACAGTTATCATTGTGGGTTAAAAAAAGAAAAAAAAAAAAAAAAAGGAAGATACCAATAATACACTAAAGTTGTAATAATAAGTAAAAGATTGGATGAATATTTTCAAAGAAGCAACCGTGATGGGTACGGCTGCTAACAGCAGTGTTACACAATATTTGGTGTTTCCAACAAAGGCAGGGAAATCCACTTCTATTCCACCACTACTTGACTTGGAACACAGCACAGCCATCATAGCACTCTGCTGGCATGAAAAAGCAAAAAGTTAAACTGCCCCACTTACCTGTACTCTCACAACTGCCCAAAATAATTTTGCGTTATGTACTAATTCCCAGTCAGGCAGCCTAAACACCGGCTTGTTAAAGAAAAATGTAACAGATCATGCATTTGAAAAAGCTTCTTTTATCCCCATCACTGACAAGAAACCAAGCTGACAGTAAGTCATTTTTAAACAAAACACAACCTATTGGACCCCTTAATGTCCAGCTCACATTTAGTCAATTTTGCATGCTTAAACTTACGCACATCTCTACCTGAGCAATTAGCCTGTCAGACCTTTCTCCTAGATGCATGGCACAACACATTGATCTATGAGATCAATGCAACAAAGCTCAGGTTTCCCTGCCAAGAGCAGAGTGCATTACGAGGTAGGCAGAGGGAGGAAGGACAGTGGCTGGATGGCATTTAATGCATCCCTGAGAGACTGGGAAGGACCCCAGTCAGTGTCATGCAGAGGAGGTAGCTGTTTCTCCTCCCCTCCAGCCAAACACAAAGGCTTTGTGTCAGGGTTTAACAGAGCAGGAGTGGCACAACACAAAACACTGAGAAACACAGAAACTGCACATCTCCTTTTTGTTATTTGATGTTACTGAGCATCAATTCATTCCCACTAGATAAACGAGTCTCAGTTGAAACAGAAAACACAAGAGTATATTAGCACGCTATATAGCACAAATTCACATGCTAAGCAAGTGTTTAACCTTAGGTATCCATACACAGAGAATCACCAGAAGCTTGTCAGTTAGAAATCAGTTTCTAGCTGGGGAAACATCACACATCCTTCTCTTTTAATTACACTCTAAAATCTTTCTTGATTTAATCAGTTACTCTAGAAAAACCTCTCTGGAATTTGTGATGTCAGAGATAAGAGAAACTGCCGCATGCAGAAGTAGTGCCACAACCACACCAAGCCCGACCAGCATCTTGATGCTCCATCCTCACACACGGCTCTTCTCATTTTAACCCCTCATACTTCCAAAGTAACATATCTAAAAGGATGCTGGATTTCAAGAGCACAATGGTACATCAAAGATGAACAAAGTATTTGCCAGAAGCAAATCCATCTTTGCATTTTTATAACTGCAGTATCTTCATTTTCAAAACAACTTTTCACAGATAAGGAAATGCATTACAGCAGTCAGATTTTCTTACAGACTAAATCAACGTCAACGAGCACACTTCTCATTTATGAACTTAAGAAAGTTTTAATACTTCGTAAACATAGTTCACGCTGTAAAACAGAGGGATCATCATAAAGAAGTATTCTGTGACATTAACATAGAAAAGAAGTGGTAGATACATTTGCACCATACCATTAACAGGCACCTCAAATATTTCCAAAACTAAACAAGCAGAGAAGCAGCTTTCATCTTTTGTTTGCTCAAATACGGCAGCTGAAACCATCTGACATACACAGAGGCATGGCATTAACTATGGAGAATATATAAGAACTCTCGTCGGCGGTGATTTTGTTCCTCCAGAACGACAGCACGGAAACTAATTCTACGCTTTAAGGCCAACACAATTCCAAACTGAGAGTACATTTAGTCTGGGGGTTTTCAACCTTCCCATCAATACACATTTTCTGAATAACTCTGAATAATTCACCCAAAATTCAACTGGTTCTGCACAGCCGGCCAAAGAGAGCTATTACGAGCTATTTCATAACCCATTTTCCACAGTCCTTTCCGTATTAATAATGAATAGCGTTGGCGCTTCCCAAAAGGCCGTGCTCAGAAGCAGCACGGGGCTCTTTTGCCCACCCCCTCCCCCATCCTGCGCTGACATTACCGGGTTACCGGCCCCGCTCCGATCTTTGTCCCCTCCGCTCCCGCTCCAGCGCCGTACTCAGGGATGCGGCCACAAGCCCGGGGATCCCAGCAGCCTTCGGAGCGAGGCATTCCCCTCTCCCTTCCTTCAGGAGAAGAGCACGCAACGACGCTCTTCTAAACGCCGTCCCTACGCAGCCCGTATGTTTACTACTATCCGTAGTGAGCACACACCGCGGCCTAGCCAGGCGGAGCCGCGTTCACGTACCGATGCCCCCGCTAATGGCTGCGAGACTCGGGGCGGCAGATTGCCGGCCGGCCGGACCGCACCGCACCGCGCCCTGCCGCCCGCCACAACGCTGGGCCGGCGGTGCGGCTGCACGGAGCCGCGAGCCCGCCCCACGGCGCCGTTCTCCTTGCGGCAAGCGAGAGGGAGGGACGGAGCGTCCGTAAATCCCAGCCCCGGAGGGAGGCTAGGAACAGCCGTGCCCTCTCCTTGACCCCCAGACCCACCCCGGCCGCGACCCCCGCGCGGCCCTCGGCCCCGAGGCGGGCGCGAGGCAGCCCCGCGTCTCCTCACCTGGAACGGAGCCGAGGCGACGGCGGTTCCTCGGGGCGCGCGTCCCCGCGGGTCCCTGCGGAGCACGGTGCCGCCCGTCGCCGCGGCGACGGCCTGCGGGCAGCGGGGCGGGGGGAGGCTAGAGAGGAGGCCCCCGGCCCAGCCTCCGCCCCGTGGCGTGCGGCGCGGTCTCTATAGCGACTGCGGTGCCGGGCGGGAGCCGGCCCGCCCGCGGGGAGGGGTAACTGATGCGCGCGGCGCCGAGGGCCGCTCGGAGCGTTACGGGCGGCCCGCGGCCCAACCCGCAGGCGTTAACCCGCGAGCCGCCGCCATCCCTGAGGCGGTCCCGCTCCGAGCGCTGCCACGCCGCTACCGCCGCCGCGGTCTCCCTTCCCCTGCCGCGACGCCACCGAGTCCGCCGCGCTCCGGCACCCGCCCGCCGCCATGCTTCCGGAGCGCCGATTGGGTGGCCTCGGAGAATTCTGCCAGCCGATTGGCTCTCGGCCGGGTCAGTCACGGCGGCAGAGGCGGGCACACACGAGGCGGCGCTTAGCCCCGGGTTGGTTGAGGTTCCCGGAGCCCCGCTATCCGCCCCCGCGCAGCCTCGGGGCCGCGGGGCCCTCTGGGCAATGCAGTCTCCGGGCGGGGCCGACACCGCCGTTACTCGCGGCAGTTCGGAGGGAGCGACGGAGACCCGGGAGGCTCCGCGCCGCAGCGTGCGGGAGCCGCGTTCCCCCGCTGCAGTGTCGAGCTTCGCCTCGCGGCAGCGCGGGGCCAGCCGGACCCCGGTGTCGCCGGGGGTGCCCGAGGCTTAGGCGGGAGGGGACCCGTCCCCGCCAAAAGCAGGAGCCGCCCACCTCGAGCAGCCGGGCTGGCACCCCGGGCTACGCGCTGAGGCAGCGGAAAGGCACTGGTGCAGCTTGGCCACCGGCCGGCACGCTCGGTGAACGGTTCGGCTCCAGAGCGTGACACCTCCTTAGAGGCAAGAAGCTCCAGCCCTCTGAACGCCGTCGGTACGTGCGGGCACCACGTAACGGCTGGCAGGACGGGTCCGTAGGCCGCGGCGGCAGCCCGGCAACCAAAGACCCGTCCCGTGGGAAGGACAGACCTGGCCTGAACCCAGCAGCCTGCGTGAAGTGGGTAACACACTGCAGTCTTACGTTCACGTGAAGTTTTTGAAGGGAGGAAAGAAAGGATTTATATTTCCCTTGTGCCAGGCCGTGAAGATGATGACAGTGCGCATAATTGAGGCTCTCTTCAGTCACTGCAAGGAGAGCTTAGTCAGGGAGTAGGGTTAGAAAGCAGCGTCTCCTACTGCTGCTTTATGAGTAAGCAGGATCTTCGTGCTCCCACTGCACACCAGTGAGCCCCTAGCAGGGGGGCTGTGACCCCAACCTAACAGCAAAACCTAACTGCCCTTACTATTTCTAAGAGTCAGCTTCAGGCAGGTGTGTCTTCATTCAGAGAGAACCAGCATGAGCAGCAGTACAGCAGCAGTAGCCACATGGATAGAGGTGATGAGAATTTATTTTTATGTATGTATATATATATGTATACACGCACATAATGTGTCCTTGCAAATGTTACTGGCACTTGAGATCGCAGCTGCAGCTCATGCTGGTTTTGAGCTACAGTTCTTGAATACTTAATAAACCTAATCCTTTGGCTAGGCCCCAGCTCTTTGCATACAACGTTCTGGGTCTAAATTTTCAATGAAAAAAGTTTCTAGATTTTCTGGATACTGAGTTCATGTTCAGTGTGTACATTCTCTCTTTTTACTGTTGAAATAGTAACATTAGAAGGTACTAATGTTCTTATCCATTGCTCAGCAGCTAAACATCATCACACAGGGAGCTCATTCCCCACACCTTACTGTTCCCTAATTAGCTCAGGTGTCTAAGTTGTACAGTTCTTCAGGAAAACTTTTTAAATTCAGTTAAACAGAAGGGAAAGGCCTTAACAAACTTGTCTGTCTGGTTTGTCTGTTTACCTATTTATCACTGTTAATCCAAGGGGCACAGTTTTCCTCATCAGTTTGTAACTTCACAAGTTAATTCACAGGTTCCAATATAACCACACTGGCATGCACAATATCACAAATGTCCCACCATCAGCACACGTCTTCCACATATTAGTCAGCACGTGCACTGCAAGCTGTAGAAGACCAAACTCTTCTTTTTCCTTTGTCAGTTAGCTTTCAAGTTCTAGCAATGTGTTGTGTCACCTGTTTTCCATTTCCTATGGAATCTTCTTAAGTAGACAAAACCTGCACGGTTCAAATAAAAGTCAAGCAGGGAAAAATGAACTAAAACTGAATCTTCTCAACAGGAAAATCTATTTCCACTTAAGTGCAGGAGGCCTTTACAAAAAGAACACAATCTTGAATTTACTGCTCCATGAATGTACCAAAGAGGTTCTTGAAGTTCTACTATTACATTGCCAGTTCTAATTGGCTATTTCAGTGTAAAGGTGTGCAACTTTTTGCAGTTTAACTCCAACCTTGTTCTTTCCAACCCACCCTTGTATTATCTTGGTAACTATCTTTGAATGGTAACTATCTTATATTCTGCAACATCCCTTTCACAATAATATTGGAAGCTGGGGGACTAAAAGAGGAATTGACAGTAAGGAGTGTATCTAAATAGGATCTGTTATTGGTCCTCTGAGAGACAGACTAGAGGATGAGGTATGTGCATAACCAGTCTGACCCCACAGGGTACCTCATATGTTCTGATGTAACTGTACTTTTGTAAGGGAGTTTGTCGTGCAGTCTTTGAATCAATATATATGAGCAGAGAGCCACCTCTGCACCTGCACAGAATAATAATGCGTGTCCTAGACCCTCACATAAAAGAAAGCTCTTAAAAACATACTCAAGTGCAGTAGCTTAACAGAGAGAAACGTTTAGCTCTGATGTAGCTGTGAATTCATCTAGTCATGTTTTGTATACTGGTACTTATAGAAGGAAAAGAAGAAATAAGAAAGGCTTCAAGCTGCTACAGATCTTGGAGTCTATTTCTACTGTGAATAAATTTTCATATGTACATTTTATCTTTCTTTGTGCCTGTAAAGAGCATACCTACATATTTATCTTTAGAACTATTATATCACTTCCATTATTTCCAAGAAACAAACTGAAATTAAGTTAATGTTCGTATCATAAATCATGCTAAAAATATCACTTTTATAGATAAATGGTCAAAAACAGAAGAAGGGGCAGCTCACGATTTGCAAAGTTTCTGAAACTCTTGAGTTTCAGATACTTCTGAGAGAATTTCACTTTGGATTGGAGAAGAACAACTTCTAGAAAGAACTGTCTGCTGGTTTAGATATCCAGACAATTATATCAGCAGACAATCTGTTGGTTACAAAACAGGGAAAAATTACTTAGGAATTTTTTCTTACTTAATTGTTGTAAAACACTGTGAATGGACACCACTACATTTGTTTTGAAGATTTTTAAATGTCTCAGGTGGTCAGAAAAGCAAAGTCAGTCAGTAAAACACAGTGTGTTTTGTCACAGATCAATCCAAAATATCTTTTTGTCTCCTTGCAATCTTGCTGCAGACCAGAACTCCGAAGCTAGAAAGTAAGAGGATTACTGTCAAATTATTCCCAATTCCAAAGGCACACCTCACAAAAATTTATTGTAACTGATTAGTCACTATGTAAAGCAAACAAATTTAGCATTTTTGTTGTGCTGGTAGGAAAACTGAGCTCCTACTGTATGGGTTGTTGTTTTTTTTTTTCCATAGAGTGTGATTTCTAGACACAAACTGTCAGTAAAACATTATGTCACCACTAAAGGGACAGAGGGATCTTGGATCTTTTTCAGAAGAACACAGAAGAGCAGTGTCCAGTTCCTGTTTTTTTCCTACTCAACAGCTTCAGAATCATTATTCTCTTTTTTACAAACATCTCTTCACTGAATCTTTTTAAAAGAATACCAACTCTCCAACAGGATGTCCTGAGTAACGTTGTTTAATTCCAGTATTATCTAGAGAATGAGAAATGACATCAGCATCAGTTTTATAAAGCAAGAACAGGGAGGATTCATGGTTAGTATAGGAGGCCCTGTATTTTAGAAGAGAAATGTAAAACTGTATGTCTGAATATTTTGCTAGGAAACAAGAGGTTTATTAGCACTGTAGTGCACCAAAAGTATTGATGCTATGAGTTACAGAATTGAAAAAGGAAATTTTACCTCATTATGTAAAGGGAATTTTGTTTTAAGCCCTCATAATACGCGTATAATTCCATTTTGCAGAAAGCTTCCTGAGGGCTGGCTTGCTGCACTATCTAGGGAGTGAAGGTGAAAAACAAAAATTGCTATATGGTCTCGTTATGAATAATGCTGTAAAAATTCTGGTCTTCAAAAAATAGTTATAGCCAAGACGGAAGGAGTTTTAGGCTACCAACCTAAAATACAGATTCACTTTCTGGCTTTACCGTAGACTGCCAGCCTGTTTCTAAGGTGAATACACCACTTCTGTACCTTAGTTTTCCATTTATAATGACTCACTGTGAGTCTGAAGTGGATGACTCAGAGCTTACGGACAGTGCGGCTACAAATGGACTGAAATCAGAGCCAGCTTCGTAGATACCTGTTTGGCATTTCCTGGAACGTGCAGGGGCCCCAGAGGCTACCAGTTAAAGAGCAATGCAGTTCATGCAAGACTGCTATAATTTCCCATTTGCCTGAAATTGGGTTCTGCATCCACATAGCTGCGAACTGTAAAGTTAAAATTATAGTATTTCTTTCCTGATTCATTTCATCTGTGAAGAGCTTTTCAGGCAATGAAATAGTTAAAAATATGATAAATTTGACTGTGTTCGCAGTAAGCTCTGTGGCATTCTAGTGTACAAAGTGGGTTATTTCAAACTGCCATCTATCCTCATTACCTCTTGCCATGAGTTTTGACATTATCTCAGCCATCCCTGCAACACCACTAGTAGGTATTTAATTGGTCTAACTCATAACATAGCTGCCCTTACAGACTTACATATGAATAGTACTAAACAGATTGGACAAACACTTAATCCATTTATACCTCTTTCAGATCTGAAGCTGCAGCACAGAAATCTTCCCTGTTAGTAGGACGCGTGTTTTCTTTCTGCATCACTGGCTGACAGTTGACAGACCCACAGCTACAACTGCTCCTGCTGGGTTAGAAAATGCTGCTCAATCATTATGGTCTTGGGGTTCAGGTTTTCCAGAAGGTCTATAATAAAGCAGCATATCGTGGCTAGTCATAGATGAGTATAAGACAACTGATGTGTGAATAATTCAATTCTGAATATTAACTTGGCAGCTGAAACAATTTTCCAGTGATACAGAACAAAAAGCACAGGTAGCACTGATCTCTAATTCCATGAAGATTTAAGTTATTTTTTAAAATGATGCATTCCTGAGCTTGCATTCCTGACTGAGTGACCTTTAATCTTATCTCTCTAGCTGAAATTTAGTTATTTGCTTTGCATTGTAGAAGAAAAACCTACATACAGCAGCACTGCCACCTTCTGTTTGCTTTTTTTCATGCATGTGAGAACTGGGCTCATATTGCAAAGCAACAGGTCAGATTCGTTTTTCTTCTAGTAGGTATCTTAGGCAATAATGCTATTTCTAATACTGAGGGATAACACAGGTCTTTTTTAAAAATAATGTTTTTAAAATGCTTTTTTAAAAGCATTATCTGGGCAGGAAAAAAAATTGATCCAGGATTGCTAATACACCACATCCCAGTCAGAGCAGTAGCTCAGAAATCCCAAGTAAGCTTGTACATTTTGTACATATATACAGTTGTACTATTGCACATTCCACAGGGAATATATGCTGAATACGATGCACATATGTACACAACTGAACAGATGTGATGTATTCCTTGCAGTCTGCAGAAGTATAGAAAACCTAAAGCATAAACAATCCACATGCATAGGACAAACTTAGTTTGGCTAGGTGCATTTGATCACCTGCAAGCATTAGCCTGATTCACATGCAGTAAGGGTCCCACACGTAGCACAGATACTCTAAATCTGAAGTTTCCTGAGTATGCAGTACATGAGCACAGAGGCAAGACAGAACTAGAAGCCCTTCTTCAGATATTCTCCTTAAAAACGTAAGGCTATGGAAAACTGTTTTGTTTGTTTGTTTGTGAAAGGAAGATGCCAGCAAAATGCACATTGAGTATGACTCCACGTACTCCCATACTCTTAAGGACGCTGCAGTTTGAATCTGCTATGCTGTTCTAGATATTGCTTTGATGGATGGAGCTTTCAGCATAAGCATTAGTTATGAGTTTGATCGTATCAGAAGAAGAAATCAAAAAGACAGTCTTGCTGTATGTCTTTATCCTACTGAGACATGTCCTTGGTTTTTTCACCTCACGGAGGCACAGTGATACTGGCAGTGATGAGCCTTCCTCTTCAACAGTGTCACATATAAGATTATGACTTCTAGCAAGTAAGCTAAAAGTTTTTTTCTTATAGCAGTGTGCTTAGGTACAGTAATCTCTGCCTTGCTTTGTAGAACCGAGTTGCATTGATAACTCATCTTCCACCTTTCCCTGATAATAAGCACAATATTCATGCATGCAAAGGGGTGTTTACCCTTAGAAAAACCCTAGAGCATAAGCAAGGTATATTCCCAGAATTCCCATGCTTATTCCAAGGATACTTACATTCACATTACAATCACGTTGTATTGCTTATCATCAGCTGGGAGAAGACAGTTAATTCTTCTGAGACTCTCCATATTCATGACAGTCTGTGGTGCACAGCCCTTGCAGTCGCTTGTGCTCCCTGAACCATTGTGCTAAAGGTATTATAAACCCTATAGAACAAAACAGGGCTTTCTTAGTGACTCCATCATGGTACTAACATCACCACTATCATGATCAAGCACTGCAAACTCAGCTTGCTGCTGCTTCTGCAGCCAGTTCAACTCAGCCAACAGATTGACAGCTCTGAGCAGAGCTCAGAAATGACAGAGGAGGATAATATGCATTTGCTTCTGGCTTGGCTAAAGCTTCTAAGAATCTAGGAGAGAGGTTTCAGTTGTACTGCTCTTGAATCTGTAAAGTTTCCAAAGCCAGAATCTACTGTGAGTCATATACGATGAACTCATTGTCTCTGGTTACTTGAATTTGTCTCACAGTCAGCCAATACACACTGAGAGGTGACAAATTCCATATAAAGCAACAACATACAGAATCATGGATAAGTTATATCATAATTAATGTCTTAATGCCTTAAAATTTAATTAATCATAATTAAATCTTAATTTGCTCTTTCACAGAACCACACAGTTTCATTATTCTCTCTCCCAGACTCATATTTATTGATAATTTGTTTTTATTTGTTGTTGTTATGAAGACATTAACAAATAGTGATGAAATCTCTGCTTCTTACAAGCCCAAACTCATGAGGAATAAAAAAATCATTATCATAAACTCAACTGGTCACTGAGGTCTCAGTTCACACTCAGTTAATTGGCCTGTTTTGCAGGATTGAACCCAGTGGCATAAGAACCTTGAAATACGATTAGAGATGCAAGGGAGATTAGCATGGGCAAGAGAGTTGAAGTCTCGCACCATCTCCATTGGTGTGTCAGCACAAAGACAGAACTACACAGACTTCAGGAAATCAGTACTTCACCCTTCCTCAGGATGCCAGATCCAGATATTTTCTCCCATGAACTCAGCAAGGTGCCAGTTTTGTGACCTCACCCAGTCCTGTGAAGCAGGTTAGTTGTTTCTTTTGCAATAAGTTAATAATAATATTAAATCTGTGCCTAGCTAAAAGGGCCATTTTAGCAAAATCAGTGAGATAAGACGTAAATTGTCTCTAAAAATTTAGCTTGCTATTTTGTCATAAACTACATCTAATAAGTACATTTTATAAGCAAATAAAAAGCTGTGATGTGGTGTTGTATGTTTGAAATCAAAGGAACAGGTAAGTGGCACCTGGAAAGTAAACAGCTACACTGTGCTGAGGTTCAAATTCAGTTCAAATTTAGACAAGAAAAGCTGAAGAATAGGATTGGTGATGTGGGAAACATCTCCACATTTATTCGTGTTTTTCTGTTGAAAGAAATGTTCCTCCCTTTACAGAATAAAGTCCAGCCTTCTTTCCCACTACAAGGTGGGAAAAAAAACTGTATGTACACACTGTAATTCTGGAGTGGCTCATATGAAATACTGAGGTGTGCTTCCAAAAACTTAGATAGGCAGGTTAGTTCCTCTGATCTGCTAGGAGCACATGTGACTTTGCAGTAGTCTCACAGATAAAATTTGGAGAAGAGTATATATGCATTGCAGAATAAGACAGTGACACTTCTAGTTTAAAATTGTGCTTCTGTTCTTCCAGCTGAAAAAACGTTTCTTTGCAGCACTCAAAACAACAAATATGTGGCAGTGCAGAATAAATATATCCAACACTTCACTGAATAGTTAGGGATATAAAAACATTATGGTATATTTACAGAATTTGTTATAAAGGGAAGAGAGTCTTCATATTACCTGAAATAAATGCAGTAAACATTGGTGCTAAAAAACACAAACAAATAGAAGCTGGGTACACTTGATCTTCTAAATCTGGTGTTGCCAAAGACTAATTTGTCAGGAATAAATGAGGTAAGTTGTTGCTCTGTCCCAGACTCAAGGCACTCATTGTATGAGAAGCACAGTGCTGAAGATACTTTGTGCAATTCCAGCTCTACCAGTGACAGCCAGGGTCAGACAATAAATGGTCGCTGCACTGCACCCTACCTCTGCTTCCCTCTTGTGGTATGGCTTATGTGAAATAGCTTGTGTTAGGCAAATTTTCTTCTGCTGAAGAACTATGGTGCAAGTACCTCTATTAAATGAATGTGAATACTCTATACATTCTGGTCTTGTAATTAAAATTTCATCAAGAAAGCTTGAAATAGCATTTGAGAATTATTGAAGGCACAGAATTACTTGTTTTTGCACATGCAAGTTCCAGGTTTTTAGCTTTAGTCATCTGAGGATGGGGAGGAAGCTGTAGGACAATAACTACACAAGACTGACTGTGTCTCTTTATGAAAGTCAGCTTCAGATTTCTTTATGGCTAGAATGCTAAAATAGGAAGCCTAAAATTTACATCCTCCAAAATAAAAAACAGCAGATTAAGTGAAAACAGAATAACTTACAACTTTGTTCAAATGTTAAAGCAAAAGATGTTCACCAAGTCACTGCCTTTTGGTGTGATACTGCTAACTGAATGTGTGTCTAACAATTTAGAAGCATTTTGCAAATAGATACATTTCACAGAAATGAAGAGCAACGTATTCACAAACCCCAGGCGCAGAACGTGAAGCCTGTATCAGCAATTTCATAACAACAGATTCCCTCTACTGCATGCTCAGAGACTTGAGTATTCAAAGCAAAGACAATTTGCAGCAGCCATTTACAGCTATTTCAGTTTAAGTCATGAACTGCTTAACTGGTGAAGCAGTTAAGGCTACTGTCTGCAGGCTTAGCAGACAGGCTGTCAGCTGAATTGCTATGGTGGCTTAATCCTGTTCCAGCAAAGTATGATTCTTTTGAAAGAGGGCTGAAGTATTTCATGGAAGAATAGTGTGAAAAAGGTACTGTTACTTTACGAATATTCTCCAGACTTCTTTGTACAGAGATCTTTATAAAAAAAAAAGTATTTCACCATGATAACCAAAATAATTATAACAATATTACCAGAATAAATAACAATAATTGATAATCAGCCTTAATTATTAAACTAGGCACCTGTTTTTAAAAATCAAGCAGTGACAATAGCCTAAACCTCTTCAGTATTTTTCCTTACTGGCTTCATTTCCATTTGCACAGTATTCTGTGTATTGTGCAAGAGACACACAGAGGTGAACAGTTTTAAAGGAAATCAATTTCCTCTCTGTACGCAGCAAAAATAAATGCAACATGAATAATTTAGATATCATAGCCATTCAAATGTTTTAATATACAAATCACATCCTAATACGAAAGGAAGAACCTGTACAAACAGAACTGATTCATTCCAACACACACATGAAAACACCATGGTATCATTACCTCTTTTAACTGCACTCTGCAGCAGTCTACTTGCCCAATATTAAGCTTCATTGCAGCTGTGGATCCTTTGATGGGCAGTGTACAGCCCCTACTTCTGGAAGGTTTGTCTGCAGGTGGTTTTCATGCTGTTTTAACTTAAGTAGTAAGCTTAAAAGCAAATATGCATGAATAAAGCTGCTTACACTTCCTTCTTTCCTCAAATTATAGGATTATGTTTTACTGTTTATAAATGCCATTGTAGTAGCAGAATCCACAAGGATGACATAGAATCATGTAAATACATATTTGTATAATATAAAATCACTAATGAAAATTACTGAATTAGAACATAACCATGCTGAGAGCAGGTTTTGTGAGCAGGAAAGAAGTTCTTGCACGTGTTAAGGAAAGGCAATCACAAAGCATCAGAAGCTATAAAGGATGGCAAGAGATCACCACTTAATCCTGAGGTACTGCAGCATAGTTCTGCATTCACATCACGTACACTGAAAACATACTGTCTCCAGCTCTAGCAGGTTTGTGTCTTGGACTGCTTCCTGCCTGTGAATGTGATGTAACTGCAGGGGTACAAAGAAGTCAGTAGTAGTCTTACAGAAACCATAACGATACAGAGAAGCAAGGCAAGATGTGATGAAAAGATAGTTCCTTAGATTGGCTAGTTGCTGGGGAAAAGATGACAGATCTTGAAACTCAGAAGCCATTCTTTAGCTGTGAAAATATTAAATTTGAAACTAGGTGCGTATGGGTGGTTGCGAGAAATTGAACTTATGCCCATCACTGTGGTCTTTTGAGAGAAAAATGTAAGTGACTATATATTATCTGGGCAAGTTAGGAAAGGACAGTACCTTTCTTACTTACCAGGACATAATACAGGTGCATCAAAAACAAGCTAATAAACTCCTTTTGGTAACCCTGGACTCTGGAATGTTTACGCAAGAGAATGGAAATTATTCCAACGGACTGTGAAGAAGTCAAGGCTGCTGCAGAAAGTGCAGCCATTAAGAGACTTCAGCAGCAATTCTTTTCCCGAAAATAATTCTTCATTGGAAAAAGGCTTATATGGTTACACTATATTTATCTGCCTGCTTATCCAGCTTTTAAACCTACATATGGCCATGACACAGTAATCTAAGAATTATAATTTCCTAGAATCAAGAAAATGACAGGAATGTGTAGAACAAGAAAGCATCATTAGGCTTCTGAAGGGACAAATCAGTGAGCAGATCAGCTCACTTCTAGATATCAGAAAATCCACACAGATGACTGCTCTCGAGATGAAAATGCACAGAAATCCACCATTCATTGTTTCTAATGGTCACTTGTTTTTAATTGATCTAGTCCAATTTTGTAAGAGGTATTGTATGAAGCTTAAGCAAGACCTGGGGCACTCCCTTGGCAGGTTTCAGGTGCGTGAGGCAGTACAGGAAGATCTTGGTAGGCTTTATAAATAGCCAGTCAAACAGACATTAATCTCTCTCTCTCTTCTTCAGATTTCTACTGCATGCCTTGGATACATGCTTCTAAGCAGCTTATGGGCTTTCCGTGACCTATGCTTCTTTTCCTAATGCTGATCTGACTATGGCTGTCCTCAAAGTAAAATTCACCAAAACTAAGAGGGACAAACTGGCTCAGATCCTATGGATCCTCAACTGGGTTTCTGTAGTGAGTGGGATCATTCTCTTCAGTCTTGGCCTCTTTCTGAAAATAGAGATCAAGAAGCGCAACGAAGTGATGGCAAAAGGGGACATTAACTCTGTTCCCAACATGCTGATCTCTGTAGGAGTCATAGCATGTGTTGTCAACTTTTTGGGGGGCAAAATCTGCTACGACTGCTCAGATGCCAACAAGTTCTCCCGATGGAAGCTAATTATGTTCCCATACATCATATGTACCTTCTGTTTTACTTTCTGCATCCTGTTGGGTGCTCTCATGTGCTATACCATGAGGAATGAGCTGGAAGAATCTCTCTATCTGGGACTGAGGGATGCTATTAAGTTCTATAAGGACACAGACATACCTGGAAGATGTTTCTTAAAAAAAACCGTGGATATGTTACAAATTGGATTCCAGTGCTGTGGAAACAACGGCTTTAGAGACTGGTTTGAAGTTCAGTGGGTATCTGCTCGTTACCTGAACATGGCTTCTAAGGAAGTTATGGAGTAAGTATTTACTAGTTCTAATGGAAAAATCTAGGGAAAAAAACTCCTTCAAGAAGGACTAGAATTGATCAGGAACAGTAGTGTCAAAAGATCGAGACATATTGACATTAAAGACAACACAGTAAGACTGATTTTTTTCTGCCCAAAATGCTAGCAGTATTCCCTCCTTACATGACAACTTGTGGCTAGGTTTCTCTCAAAGATCCATCCGAATAATTGCTAACAAGTCTACCTCAATATATAATGTAATCATATGCATATTTACAAACACTCTGGTACTTTAATGTAAATTCTTAGTAAACAATAGCAGTAATAACACTTTTTCAAGATTACTTGTTTCTCTTAAAAACACAAATGCGGAAGTAATCAGGCCAAAAAGATCCTTCTGCTTATATTTAATCACTCTGAATTTCTAGCATACACTTCACAGAGCCAAGTAGATAATTTTCGCTGGATCACTGTCTTAATCACAAAACTGTAGACTGACAATGTTACTCCTTAAATATGCTAAAACACCTACATAATGAAAAGTCATCTTTTGATAACTTTTTAAGGATACTAAGCAATGCAACGATACGCTTTCCTTTTTTAATGTAGCAAGTTATCTACCTCAAAATTTCAGTCATAAAGAGTTGTAAAAAGAAAAAAAAGATTTTCCTACCAATACATCATGCATTCAATCCTAAACATTGAAAAATTTTCCCTTCACATTTCCCTTCACATACTAGACTAGAATTCAGGTTCAGATTTACAGGTTCACATGTCAACACCGTGTACCTTGCAGTAAAAAAGTAGAAAAACCCTTGATATTTGTTTGTATGTTGGTGCCTCACAGAATTGTGAAGTGAAATTCTCAAAACAAAGAGTGATAATTTCCATAGACAACAGTATTTTAGATGGTAGCAGTCAAAAATACAAGAAAAAAAAGTAGCAGATAATCCAATATACATCTTCAAAAGCTGAAAAAGTCTTCACTGATGAGAGCCAGGCAGCTATATATTCTTAGGAAAAATAAATACAAAAGTTTAAATGGCATTTAAGGAATATTCTGCTTTGTCGAAAAAGGGGGAACAAAGCCAGATGAAAGAAAGTCAGTGATCTTCTTTTAACAGAACTTGTAACTTGAAGATGGCCCTACAGAAAAGCATATAAACAGAGATGCAAAGATACCAAAGGACAGGACCTGTGAAACAAGGACATCAGCATGCATTAGGCAGTTGGCTAAGGAAATAACAAGCTTTAGAACAGATGTTCTAAAGGAAGATGTTAGGGAGCAATAGTGACACAAAGCAAACTGACTCAAGGTGTTTTAAATCCTTGTTCTACTCTGAAAAGTCATAAGACAACAAATATAGTCTGCAGGAACTTACAGTAGTACCCTATTGTATGGATATAGGTAAAACATTACTTTTTATTTCTGTGAGCCACGTACTAAGAGTAATGTTTTGTCCAACTGAACTCAGTTTTCATCTACAAAGTCATCTGTGCTCTGCCAACATTCTGGAAATACAGTTAATTTTTCTTATCCCCACGTAGAAAGAAGACAATACGTGAAGAAGATAAATACAGCACAGAACTTCTACTGCATTTATATTTATATTTATATTATAATCTCATCTCAATCGCTAGAATCAAAGTTGGCACTGTATAGGCAAATTATACTATGATTTTCAGAACCTTGTAGGGAAACATTTGGTAAGAAATCACTAGAACCAAAGTCCAGCTTGTAATGTTTAGAGAGGGTGGAGAAGGAATCAAATCTTCCTCGTTTTATCTTGTAGTGTATGTCAGTTAGTACTTGGTAGATTAAGAGGCAACGCAGTTGAGAACTGACATACTTAATAAGAATCTCTACGGAACTGAACTTTTCACCTTCCTTCATAATCCTCTTCTCTTCCCTCTATCACTTCATTACCAATGCCACAACATCACAAAAAACAGAGTCCATCTATGGGAGCAGTACAAGGATGAAGCAGTTTACAGCACTACAATCCTATCACTGCTTTGGTTAGGCAAAAATAATCTTTTTGTAGTCTCATAAGCAACTTTTGCTTCATAGTTTCATTACAATTTTGAAATACAACAGTAATTAACATCTTTCTTTCTCAGTTTTTGTTACTGAGCTCTCCCCTTCCAGCAATATCCAGATACAACTTCCTTCAGTTTGTTACAAGGAAATACAATGGCAAGGGGAACATAACCAGTCTGGAACTGTTACCATTTACAGGAGAAAGAAGTTTATCACCTTATCACATACATGGCAGGAAAAGAGAAAAAAAAAAGCTTCAGATCAAAAGTGAAGCTTAAGAGCTAGCTTAAGTGATTGTATTTCAACCATTTCAGATGCTGTCCTATTGTTTTAGTTTACATCACTGAAACATACAGCATTAGACTTGTTCAGGTACAAGCCACCATTTCACAACCAACTTGTCTTCATCTTCATTTTCTGTACAGTTTCTTTTCCCCACATTTTGGCCCTCTTTTCTGTACCTCTGTGGCTCCCCTCATTTTTCTACATCATTTTGCCTATGTCACTTACACTGTTTGTACACTTAATTCTATTTTCAGTTGATTGTGTTCTTTCACATTAGTTTCCCTGCTTCTGTTACTTGGAGCAGGTTGGCCACAAAGTGAAGAGCTAGATGTTAAAAAGAAAAGGCATTATGCCTAACTTGCTCCTCAGTGGGAAACAGCAAATGGTCTTCCTTTTGTAATTGGAAATATCTGTTAAAAATATTTTCCTCAAAGACAATTAAAAAAAAAATATATATATATATATATATATATATGAAAGAGAAAGGAGGCACAAAACAATAATATGAAGGCAATTATTCTGCCATGCCAGCACTGCCACAAATGCTGAGGCTCCTTTCAGCTTATGTTTCTTTTGAAAGATACACTTAGTTTCTAAATTCTGGACCACAGAGTTCTACTGCTTATGTTCACCTGGTCAGCTTCTTGCAATGCCTGCCTTCTCTTTCATTTAGAAAATCTGTAGCAGAAATGGAAAAATAAATTTTATAAACAAATGAGGATAAACTCTAAAATCATCTTTAATATTCTCAGTGCAAACAAATCTAGAAACATATTGTATCTGTGTACATCTTACACGCATAATACCAAGAGCCATATTGAAAACTGTGCAGATACCATACTGAAAAGCATTGCAAATGAAAAATTTGGTTTTCTTGTAGTGAGCAACATTTCCAATTGGAAATGAGAATGTATTTCTCTTTTGTTACACTGGAGAAGCCTATCTCGCAGCAGACAAATTACATCCTTTTAGAAAAACTACAGATGCATCCTGCTGCAGATACCACAGTTGTAATGCAAACTTTCTGTCCTTTTGCAGCCGTTTCAAGAGTAATGTTGATGGGAAGTTCTTAGTGGATGGAGTACCCTTCAGCTGCTGCAATCCAAGTTCCCCACGGCCCTGCATCCAGTACCAGCTGACAAACAACAGTGCCCACTACAATTATGATTTCCTGACAGAGGAGCTCAATATCTGGATGAAGGGGTGCAGAGAGGCCTTGCTGGACTACTACACAGCTATAATGAGATCTATTGGTATTGCGGCATTGCTTATCTGGTTGTTTGAGGTAAGCCTCATGAAAATGCTCTGTGTTTGGTACGTCAGAGATTTCCTGCTCTCCAGGATGGGGAATAAATATGCTGTAACATATGAGGAGTGTAAGAAGCACCTCAATATCTAAAACAAGTCCATAAGGATTTCAGCAATGTTGCAGGACTTTCCTCTAACGCATAGTTTCCACAAAGCATCCAGTAGAGAAGTAAATCTCATTGAAGATGAGAACTACTAGAAGTGATGCACATAATTCTGGATATTTAGAGCTTTTTCAACAGATTATGGCATATTCACTTTCCTAGAACATTTACAGGGCAGCACGCAGGATAACACATGCACTAACACAATTAATAGGTGGAAGGCACGAGACTGTTAAAAGGCAATTTTTCTTAAGAAAGAGTATTAAAAATGTGAGGCAGACCTATGCTGAATGTATGAATGCCTTCCACGGCCAAAATTGAGTGTAAACATTAATAGCTCAAAAATTCCCTTATAGATAGCATAGCTTTATGACATAAACATGGAATACGTTTTAGGTATAGACTAGACTACTTATTATGCAGTCAAAATGAGCACTTCAGTGGCAAGTATACACATTTGAAAAAATGCAGTCTTTCTATTAGTGCCTGTAAAGAAAGTTGTCATCTCCATGCCTCTGTAGACCATCCTTCCTCATTTTTAGTGCACTGGCATGTAGGATGCATATTGCCTACTTAACAAACGAAACACCTTTGATGAAACACCAATTTAATGAATGTCACTGAGGAAAGACTTCCACAAAGATTAACAGACTAGGATTTTTCATCCAGCCACTGATGTCCCCATTAATTGATCATCTATTTTGCACTGATAAGCCACAGTCTGAGGCTACAACATTCCCAGGTAATTCCAGGTATCTGTGCACTAATCACATTAAGTGGGAATGCTATCTGAAGAGTGGGAGAAAAAACAGCAAAAAAGTTTCTCCTTGGTATTTTTTTTATTCAAAAACATGTAATTAATTGATTGTTTAGATACATAGCTGGGAAAAAAAAGCTATTTATTTTACTGAGAATTAGGTCTGTACACAATCAAGTTCAAAAGCTGACTTAGTGGTAGGATCCAGACTGTAACTTAAGCTCTGTTTAAGCACTAACCTTTCCTTACAGCTCTCTGTACTTATTGGTGTTCGGTACCTACAAACAGCAATGAAGAACACTCTGCTGCGAGGAGATCTGCAGGGTGAATCAGATGGTTGGTTACTAGAAAACAGCTTTATGGAAACTGCCAAACACAACATCAATATTATCAAGAACCTTGGCAAAGCCAACCAGATCTCCACTGTCTCAGGCATGAATGATCCCAACATTAATGTTCAAAACACAAACTGTGACAAAAGCAATGTTACACCAAAATCTATCCCTGCAGCCAGCTAGACAAGTCTTCAGCAAAATGATGGCTCAGTTTTGATATACTACGATCTTAAGACACTGGACTTTCACTAATGGGAAAAAAAGCAATATGATAACTGAACAAAAATAGACTGGTTACAGCAACAGGATGCTGATGCTTCTTTGGCAGGATGTATTTTCTTTACCAATTCTAATGAAATTCTTGATTTTTGTATGTGTACAAAACAGTCTTTTGAATTTTTCCCTCTTTGTCTCCCCTGCCTACACATTCCTGTCCTGGTCTGAATAGATCAGAATAATGATTATACAAAACGGGACGTACAGCTTGGATCAGTATGCTCTAGATAGGATTGAGCTAGTTTGTGATTACTGTCACATCTTCAGAAATCCCAGCTGCAGAGAAATTTCATCAGAAATAACTTCTCTGGATAAAAAGGTTATTAAAAGAAAGAATGATCACAAACACAGAAATGAAGATTGCACTAAAGTCTAAGTTACAACAGGTAAATTTTAAGCCAAATTGAAGTATATTATCACTCCTCCAAAATAACTTATTAGCTAAGTAAAATTGAAATCAAGTTAAAGGCAACAAAAGCTGGTTTGTCTAGTGTATGTGACTTGTTTTGTTTTTTAACAATCTGAAGACAAACTTAGAGAAAGCCAGCTGGCCTGAAAGTTAGAGCACTATTAAAAGGAGTTCTCTGCTCAAAACCACTAACTGATAGCTCATACAGGATATTAAAACTCCAAGTAGCACGTGCTAGCACAAGAGTAAAAATAAGCAAATACTTCCCATAAAACAAATACTGATGGCCCCAGATGTTAAAAATGCTCATAATTTCAGGAGTAGCTATACAGATCCACAGGCTGGAAAACAAGAGATTATTTGCAACCAACAAAGACCAAGATAGATTGTCATCTCTCCCATCACATTCCTAGTACAGTGCTTATGAAGTTTGTATGTCAACGTACAGCACAAAAGCCTTTCTGTACTTGCAGTAACAGGATGCCTATGCTTAATTCATCAGTAATAATACGGTTTTAAGTAGTAAAACATATACATACAGAACAGAGGATAAAAAAAACAAAATATATTACTTGATATCTTGTGAATAACACACTATTTGAATATAACTTTGGTCACTTTGTGCACTCTTTGTATATAATCAACAAAAAGGAATAATCCCATCAGTATGATATTCAAAGCAGAACTATTCTGCTCTTCAAATTGTACAAAATTAAGAATAAAAATTGCTTTACCTGTCCCAACATTGTTTTCTGTGACACTACAGCACGCAAGAATTATACTTTGTGTGATGGAAAAATCTATATTGTAAGTCAAGCAAGCTATATGCATGATTGTAATTGCAAATGCAGTTGCATCACTTAAGTATGTTAAAAATAAAAATAGAGAGGTCTATACTACAGGTCTGTCTGTAGCAGTAACCGTAGCTGAGGTTTTACAGAAAGCACACGAGAAGCAAGACCACTTTTTTCCTGACAAAGCTTCCTAACTTCCAGGAAACAGCATATTGTTAACTTGGCATGATTGTATATGAAACAAATGTTTTAATAACTCTCCATGGATTTTTTTTCTATGAATTTGTATAGTGCTTTTTTTTTTTTTTTTTAACCCATTCATGGTTTTCATATCCAAAACGCAGATTTTGATTTCTCACAACTCAGCTTTGCATTTCTTGAAGAAGTGCTTTGCTTTTTGACTCCCTAACCTCAATGCATATCCCTTAATCTCTGCTGTAAGATGCAGCTGATATTCTCTTCATGCTGTCCCTGATTTTACTGTCCTCAGTTAAAAATCTCTGTCCAACCTTCCCAAGTTGAAGAAGCTGCTATTTAATCTTTCTGCCTATTGAAATTATTGCTCTTCTTTGGCAGTTTTTGTAACTCTTCACTATTCATGATTTTTAAATGAAAAACAAGGTAACACCGAGGATGTTATGAATTAAACTGGCTTTCTGGCTTTTTCCTAAGACTTCCTGTCATTGCTTGCTTTTTTTGAAAGTCTGAGCATTTGGGGAACATTTTCACAAAGCCATCCATAAAAATATCAAGGCAAAAACCAGTGCGTCATTCCTTCAAACATTTCTGAGAGCCAAAAATATCATTTCTGCTCTACAGCTGTTATGCTGTTTCTAATTCTACCTAATGCCCTTGGGCACAATCCTGACTCCCTTTCTTTTCTATCATTCAGTGTGGTAATGACAAAATTCCATAGAGCTTTATTACTGGGCTGAAAAACACCCAGCTTTTATGTCTCACTGAACTAAGAAAAGTAACCCACCTTTTAGACAGTGAGACAAAACAAACTTCAGTGAACCTGGGAAATACAATCCCAAAGGAAGCAGCTCATGGTTTGCAGAACACTCAGCACAACAGTTTCCTGAGCCTACCAGAAACATTAAGATTAGATGATATAATACTGGAAAAAGAATGAACATTGAAAATTGACATTTTTACATATTAAGGAGAAAGGCAGTCATATGCTGCAAATTAAACACTTTTCAACATAATATGATAAAAATGCAATTTTTACCTGTATTTTTTTTTACAGACCAGCATGCAGAGCATCACATGCTTCAGTAAATAGTCATTTTTCTAGTAAAATTGTAATCCATCTATATTTGGAAAAACAGTTCTAGGTTGCTTAATTAAATGATCACAATTAGGGAAGAAAAACAGAGTGACAAACAGAACTTTGGCTTCATTAGGAAAAATGAATCAAGAGGACTTGACAGAAATAATTTAAAAAATAAAATACTTTAAAAATAAAAGCAAGGAATGGTTCAGCTTGATGAAAATAGTTGTAAGACATGGAATAAGAGCACAAACTCATATTTTTTAAGGGGATTTTTGCTCAGTATTATACAAAAAAATTTCCTGATGGCAGAACACATTTAACTTCAGAAGCAGATAAAACCTGGCATCGCGTGCCACGTACAATCTCTCTCTAGGCCATTTATTTAGCTTACTGAATTACAACAGCTTTGTCCAGTTCTCTAGCAGAGGTCCCTGGTGGTCATGAACTTGCTCTAAAAAAATAGGTTCAGCAGAAGAGCGAGCTGAAATGACCACCCAGACCGAGTGTCTCTGTAAAATGACACAAAGCAAAAGCAGTACGTAGTGCTGTGCCACATCAGCACAAAGAGCAGTGGTATCAATAGCCAGCTACACTTTTCCTATAGTTCACACAGATTATTTTCACATGAAGAGGACACATTTTTACCATAAAAAAGTAATATTTGGTTTGTCAATCTTTCTTTCAGACAACTGCTGAAAAGATGCAGAAACAGCTGTGTGAAAACTTGTGAAATTAACTTGTGTAATTAACTAAATTACTGCCACCATATAAAAAAAAAAACCCTCAGGTAACAGTGCAGACTTTCTTTAATTCTCTGTAACGTATAAAGACAAAGATGGCATTAGCAAGTCAAGCCTATAATCCGTAGCATCTGCTCAGATACAGAAATAAATACGATTTGTGGGACACTTCTTATCCTATTTGTTATTAACGCCTAATCCAGTCAGAATTAATAACAATACATTTGTGTAAGAAACTCCAGCAACTTCCAGAGCAAGGAATTTATCTCTATATAAGACTACAAAATCTTTTTATGGAGCTCTTCATAAAACTGAAACGTTTTAATGTTCGGTTCCTGCTGAAGGCACTGCGATGGCTCCTGCAGGAACTGCAGTTATGATGCTCTTCCTTTAAAGCACTCTGACTACTGCTGTACATTGATCATAAAGAAGAACATAATGAATCATATATGAATACTGCATATTAAGAATCACATTTGTTCTCCCTTAGAAGCTGGAAACCTCCCCAAACTGGTTTAACTGGTGTGAGATCATACAGCTCTCTCCAATACAACAAATAGCATTGAAACCTGACAAATCATTTGGAACACATTTTATCAGTTTCCCACCGTGGTAACAGTTTAGTCTCCACACATGATACTCCTACTCCATAGTTTAGAAAGATCAAAAAGGTATGAAAGCCCACATCACCTAGGTGGCTCTTACGAGGACTGTATCACATAAATGGATGCTCCTGTTCCAGTCTGCTGCTTTATGCCAAGGCATGTAACAGAGGGGGCTGCCTGAAGTCACACTGTTGTGCATTATCCACCTGAGAAAACCAAATTGCTCAATTCTGCGCATGTCTGAACTGGGAAAATAAATCTTCTTAGATCATTTTTCAGTATCACAATCCCAAAACACATTGGTTTTGCCATTTTTAATTACAGCATAATTCATAGAATAAAAAAGCAGACAAAAGAAACCTGGAGCATTTTTATCATCTTAGGTAGATTATTTCTCAAGCTGCCACGGTTATGTTTTGCAAAACCTTCAAGCAGAAACTCGAAGGTGCATCAGAAGGGCCTCTCTCCAAGTCCTAGACTGCACTTAACTACCTTTACCTAAAGCTAGTATTACAGTCCAGGTACTGCGAGGAGACATTCTGTGGTTTGCAGAAAAATCCCTGCCACAGTTCCCCAGAGATAAACGAAGAGCTTAAAATGACCAAACCCAAGTGCCAGTCCCTGCTTCGCATGGTGTGCAGGCCCACTCCTTCAAGCATGAAGCCTAGAAATTTCCTAGGTCAGTCTGATTCTTAATTGTTACAGCCTATAATTAAATTGCTTAAACTACAGTCCTGTTTCCTGACAGTGACCTCATAAACAAGCAATACAAAAAGCAGCTCAGGCTCAACTTTCAGTATTTCATGTTTAACTTAATACCTGGTCTCACACCTTAATCATCACTGCAAGAAGCAATACATATAATTTCAGGTCTCTCTCTCAGGCACATTTTTTGAACAGCTCCTCTTTAATCTACACATTCAACCACACAACATAAGCTTCCAGAAACAGCTAGGACTAGGACTAATTGGATTTTAGAGACTTGTAGAGAAGTCAGTATTTGTTTTTCATTTGTTTTCTGTATCAGCAAATAAATTTAGCCTCCATCTGCAAAACATAGATAAAAAATACAAGATTGTGCCACAGAAATGAAACAATTTTCATCTTTGAAGAAAACATATCACGGCCATAATCATCCTCCATATTATTTTCTACATTGTACCAATCAATCAGGTAGAGACCTTTGAGTATTACCTTATGTGCTTACGACTTCTCTTAAAAATTGAGATAAACACTGCAGGAGTCTGCATCTTTGAAATATTAGCATAAGTTTCAAGTGGAATATTTATTTAAATAAGAAAAACTGCCACCAGTACTCACTGGTACAATGATGATGCGGATCACAGTTTACCACTGTTTAATAATTCTTCCATTTTTCCATACTTGCAGACCTTCTGTAACACTCTTGCAAAAATCAGAAGTGTGAAAGTGCCTCCAAATAAAAGTGGAATAATCTATGAGAAGTTACTTTATTTCCTTTTTTAAATATACATATACAAGATATTTTATTTCAAAAGCACAAGAACATTATACAAGTTTCAAATTTACATTTTTGCAATTAAAGAAACCAATATGTGCATTATCAAATTTCTTCTGTCAGCCTGGATGGAATGAAAATTGGTGGCATAAGCATCTTGTGATCACTAAATACAGATCATACTCACAGTGAACAAAACTGCATAGTAATTTATGAAATGAAAGATGACCACACCAGTCAGTGAATGATACGGGAGCCCATCTGCTAATGAGTATGTGCAAACATACGTGGAGACACAACTTTGCCCCTTTTCTTTCTCTCTCATTTTTCCAACTACACACGTATTTCTAGAGCTTCAAACAAGAGCTCACCTGTTCAAACCAGCTGCCATCTTTACAAATATATTACAGTTCAGACAGAAAACATAACACTGATTTCACCTCACCGTCGATAACAGAATTTATTACTGAAGTGCAAAGTTACTGAAAGTTTCTGATAAATGAAAAGCTAGAACTCTGAGCAAAAAGAAAAAAAAAACAAAAAAACAAACAAAAAAAAACCAGAAGAACAACACAGTTCTGGTATCAATAAGCCACAATTTCCTAGTCTGAACTCATGTTTTTCTTGGTAAAAAGTGTTTTAACGTCCTTAGATATCTTCAGCAATTGCAAGTTTTCATCACAACTCCTCTTCTAAATTCTTTACATGTTTCAAATACATTTTAGATAAGTCTAATAGAATTATGCTCGTCTTTGAAGGGTTGTATATTCAGGTTTAAAATCTGCAAGAATCAAGATAAGGACAATAGTCATAACTGCAAGAAAAAAAGGCCTAGAAAACACTCCAAAGTCAGCTGTTTATATCACCAGGGAAGGACTACTGCAAACGTTCTTGAAGAGAAAAAAAAGAATTGCAAATCATAATATTCAAGTCTACCTGTACTCCATTTGTAGATGAATTATGGCGCTGTTCAGCGTACTCATGTACTCTAAAAGCTTTAAGAAACTAGGAGAACAGCTCTAATTATATCTAAATCATTA